CATCGGTGGCGAGGTTCTAAAGACAAAAGAAGGAGTAAAACCGCGATCGAAATTTGATTGAAAAGCGGGGTTATAAAATACTGAAAATAATACCGTAAACAATATAAGTTTTGTTGAGTCCCGCGACAGTCTAAAAACGCTTTTCTAGTCGCAAAATCGCAAATTTCGCGTGCTTATGGGGCACATTATGTTTGGTCAGCGTTTAGGAACATACCGTCACTAAAATTGAAACACGGTTAATTGTGGGTGGGATTTGCCTTTTATCCATTACTTTAAAATTGTCGTAGAAAATTTTCGTGTTATCATTAAACAAGGTTGAAAACGCGATTTTTCCCGGTTTGTGATGATATATAAGATAATTAATCCGAAGTATATCCATCAATTTTTATTGTACTGAAATAAATTTTACTCCATGAGAATTTACAGCAGATTTACGGATTTTTCAGGAGGTTTTATCTTTAAGAATAATCGGAGTGTAAGAATTGCGATTGAACGGAGTCAATAGGCCTGATTACATGTCCACTATAACCGGTCTAGCAGACCACATATGAGAACTATTTCACGCTTCAGTGGTTCGCCTGCGATTCAAATCTATACCGTCGGTCCAGAACATCAGACCTCCTATTTAGGAGGTCTGGAAGTGAGCTAACCGGTCTTGCTCGGTTGCTTCGTCTTGCTACTCGAGAAATCGCAGTTACTTACGTTGACTGAAAGGGTATGGAAGTTATTTTTCTTTTCATCTCAGTTAAGTGAGTTGTTTTTTACAACAAATAAAAATTTAGCTAGATAGTGCAAGTTTAATTCAAACTTCATCCTTATCTATTTTGTTGCTGTTGAACACAAATTTGGAATACCGGTACCTGGTACTGGTGCGATCCTGATGCAGCGTATTAGCATGCTGGGTTGTTGTTTTGAAACAGAGAATTAATGTCCTAATATTTATTGGTATAAACTGAGCGCAGTACAACTTCTGTTAATACTGTAATAAGCTTCAGTTTGAGTTGAGATATTTCACCATACCTCATCCTAGCTGGTACGGTACCCTAACTGTACATACAGGTGCAAATTCAATACTTCAGTGTCGCTAACGTCGCAGTTGTAGGGCGATATTAAACAATGAAATTGTTTCTATTTACATATGATGAGCTCACTTCACATAAAATGTTCGGTTGATAAATTGTAATTGTTTAAATTTGGTTGTCAGTAGACTACTGGTAACTGTAGGCCTACCGTAAATTTTTGAATGGATCGTGTGTCATAAGGTGCCGGCATTCTGCAACGTTGAACGCTGAATGGTCGGCCAAAATGATCTAACTCGTCCACCTTTCATACTTTTAATTATTTTTACGTTTTGTTCTTAGATTATGAGCAAATTTCAACGGGAAAGTAACTCCTGTCTTCACAGAACTTCGGTCAAGAACGTGCATATAATTTTGATATATACTTTAATTAACATTTTTTAGTGAATTTACGGTTTTATTGAAAATAAAATATATGCAGTGTTCGCAAATCATGACTTATTTGATTTAGTCCGGCAGCTCTAAAACTGTTCTTATCTCGTTAGTGTGGACATGTAATCGAGGACGCTAAGTGGTCTCCGAGACCACTTTGACTTTTCCGAATCGAACCGGTTCGCTAAACTGATTTTGATGGACATGTAATCAGGCCTAATGTTACAAGCACATCTCAAATTTGTCGAATTTGCAAAATAGAAAAAATACGGATCAAAACAATATATAATAGGCGACGGGCAGTTACCACGAATTTTTATGTCGGCAAATGGCCGAGGTATTTTAAACTTGTGAATTGTGAAAAATTGTTTTGTTTTGTCGACGCAAACGCTGGTTAAATTGAAGACAATTAAATTAATAAAGCAAGACTTTTTAAATATGCCCTTATCGGTCACGAATTGATTACTTTGCACAACAGAAAAATCATTTTTCGTTGTAAACGTGGGCTCTTTTAACAAGTGGCGTAATCGCGGCGATGAATATGTATTTTTGATTTAACGATATACTTCATATGCATTTTCATTGTACAAAATAAAATTGTACTTTTCGGGATTTTATATCAGTTATTGAGATTTTTCTAACGGCGATAACGAGTTGGCAAGATTCCATTCAAAAATACGTATTAAAATTAAATACACCGTTTATCTCATATTTTTATGTCCACCGATCGCCGTGGCATTTCAGAGAACTAATGTTTGAATTTTGACGCAAGAAGAAGCAACCGCGAGTTACGTTGGACACAATTAAATTAATATATAAAGACATTTTAAAATTTTGTAGTTGTCAGGGATTGAATATTTCACGCGACAAGAATAATCATTATACGCTGAAAAGACGTCCCTTTAACGAGCGGGTAATGCGAAGACTGTTACAGACCGCAATGGGAATTTATGATTATGACCCCCCCCCCCCTTTTGAAAATCCTGGCTGCGCGCCTGGGTGTGCTTGTATAATAATCATATTATAAACAAGAATTTTGCTGTTAATGCGGAAGCTTCATCCCAATTGTATGCACCACATAGGTTAGAATTCCAGCAAATATCATTATGTAATGCAAAATTGGGTTACAAAAGTACTACCGTATTTACTCGAAATACGCCTATATCGCGAATAGGCAGACTCTCTGAAAACGGCCTTAAAACAACGATTTTATAAAAATCGCACGTAAGCCGGTATTACGAATCGTTACAGGCCTCAAGAAAAACGTAGAAAGAGAACAAAAATACTGTAACGCAAACATTTCTCACGTTTATCGTTTCTGCATGTTAGCGAGGGCCGTAGGTGGATTATTAACCGTAACTCTTAGTTGTTAATTTATGTTAATAAAGTCTATATTGCTTTTCAATGCATCGTGATTGTGTCGGGAGTAGGGCTGGGCAAAATATTCGAATAACGAATAGCGAATCGAATATTAAATTATTCGAATGGCATTTTACTGTTCGAATATCGGGTACCACGTGATCTGCGCCGTTTCACTTGGACACAGAACGTCTCTGAACCGATCGTGAATTGCGCGAGAATTCAGCTACAACGCTCGCTAACAGACAAAAACGACAAATTTGAAAAATCGTCTTTGCGTTGTGGTGTAATTTGTTTTCTTTGCGTTTCAATCGTTCATTTCAATTCCCTGTTTCGCAAAAAAAGGTACCGACACCGTTCCCTAAATTTAGAAACGTCAAATCAGATGAGATATTTAGAATAAATATCCCAGATTTTAAACTCCGTATGATTGGCGGCACGTGACTCGCCGTTTCATGCATGAACCAAACATAAATTTGTTTAACGAAAATTAAAAGTTGAAATAAATTTCGCATGAAACCATACATAGTATAACACGAACAAGCTATGACCAGAAAAGAAATGGCAGGACATAGTTCTTTTAATGTACTTTCAAATTATTCTTTAGTGATCACTTTTATTCTTGACCAAGTATATTTCGAGAATGTAAACATTTCACTCGGGCATGCATGGCGGGTGGAGCGTAGAAATAGTGAACAGGAGTATAACGTAAAATCAATCGTGAAATTCGATGTAACAACGCGCACTGTCTCGTTTACGAATTGTTGTATCATCGGAAATGATTACATTCGTTATATTTTGAGCATTTTTGCACTAATAAATAGGGCGTGACATTATCAAAATCGTCAAGAGAAGTAAAAGTGAATTTGCGAATTCCGTAAATAAAAATTTTAACAAGTTAGGTGTTCGGACCGGACCCCTTTTAACAAGTTAGCCGCCCTGGCTTTTGTTTTAACTTGTTTAATAGGTAGTAGAGAAGCGTTGTGCCGGTTAAAAGTGATATAAACCAGGTCTGCCCAATAGAGACCCAATTTATTCACATCATTTCACGGTAATTTGCGAATGAACGAATCATTATGACTATATAAACAAAGCACACACGGCAAAAAAGTCCTTAAAGTATACCAAAATTCCTGGAAACTACATGTGCTTTCAACGTTTGTGGTTGCAATAAATGGCTGTTAATACATGAGAATTTGTTGATTTCGCAAATCTGTGAGACGCGGTTGAACTATGCCGCCAGTGATGTCTTTGTATCGTAACTTTCCAATTGGCAAGAGAGTGCCTGACAAACTTTCGCTTTCAATTTGTATATTCTAGTCAGTATTTTTGCACTGGTAAATCGTACACATTGATCAAAATATCACATGACCACTCTCATTCATAGATACGTGTGGCGTCGCATTCCAACCTCGGGCCGACACCGTCAGCATTTTTGCGGGAGAAGTGGAACCCGAGTGCTTGTGTCAAACATAATAGTCAGCGTTTTTGCGGGAGAAGTGTAACCGGAGTGCTTGTGTAAAACATAATAGTATAAACAGGAATTTTGCCGTAAATGCAAAATCTCAGATAGCTTTAACTACCATTTCTGCACCACATAGCTTATGCAAATATTGTTAGGTAATGCAAAATTACTCGCACACAGTTTATTTGTCAACTTTGAAATTTATCGCTCAAAAAACGAAAAAAAAAATGACGATTTTGCAGTCTAATAGTAAACACTGGCCTGAAAGCTTGCCCCCTTCGTCTTCGAAAACAAGACTGCGGCCACGCATGAGCTATTACGTTGCTTGTACCCACATGACATTATGTGTGTGAGTGGCAGACTCTCTGAATACTGAATAAAACCCAACTACACCCAAAGCAAATATTACCTACACCTTGTTTTGAAACATGGCCAAAATCATGAGGAAAATATGATAATAACGGTATGTTTCTAAAATAAGTTCAACAGCTGGTTAAACCGACAGCACTCTTGGGCAATCCGAAACGCTGCGCATTGTTGCAAGCAACACAGTCAGGAACATGTTTTTTGCGCTCTCGTTATTTGACTCTTCGCCCCACTCAATTTCATGACACGCCTACAAAATATATGGGTCACGAAGAGTAGATTACATTGAATATAAATTTCTCATTTTTTATAAATATAATATATATAAAAATATAATAAAATCATTTAAGTATACCAACCGGAATTAGGATGACAAATTCTTGCAACCAACGACAACACCATCCATCGAAGACAATATAAATCCATTGTAATTATTTCCACTAGTTACAACTTGATTAGAAAGTACAATATGGGTAAATTACTATACTGTAATATAATAGAATAGATCTTTGATAAGCCACTGAGACACATTATCAATATTGTCCACAGGCAAATGCCTTCAATAGGTATTTTTGCAGAGTAACACAAAATTGAATTTTTATGTGAGCAAGTATTTGCCAGTTAAACTTGAAAATGATTGTAGTAAGCCGTAGCCACCCAGATTGCCACAGGATAATTCTCTGGGAGCTACAAGCAAAGGCTTTCACCAAGTAACATTTGTGATCACTATACTGATTTGGTATATGTTAACTGTGATTTATGACTGTATTGCATTATTCTTTTGTAAGTGTTAAAAAATGGGCGTTTTTATGGTACTAGGCCACAAGTGTGTTGAATTTTCACAAGTGTGCAAAAGAGGGTTTACAGATCAAGAAAGCTCAAAAATAACTAACTGGTCTATCTATGGTGGCCCATCCATGTCACATGTAAAATTGAACAACAAAATATCAGAACAAGATTTAAAAAAATAAAATATGCAGAAACCAAATAAAACGAAAATAAATAAAAACGGAATGAAAAACAATAAAATTGAAAAAAAAAAAATTTAAAATAAAATTAAAAAAAGTTGACAACAGTGGGCCGTCTGCCGGCGTTTTTATTTTGAAAAATGTTGCTTCAGCTTTGGGCCAACATTGTCATACAAAATCCTACGCGCACAAATAGTGTGCCATGATTAGAGAAATCGGGAGAAATCGAAATAAAGAGCACTTCGTGAAAACCGGTAATATTTTACATATAAGACCTAATGCCTAAAAATGTAAATAATTTTTGCCCAGTAGAGAGTCAGGAGCTAATTACCTCAAGTTTTAACGTTTTCTGTTCCAACAGAACAATACCCCGACCATTATTATAGCTAAAATAGTTAAGGAGGAATTCAGAATTTCATTTACGGAATTTGCAAATTAAACACCTCACTTCACGATTTTGATGATGTCTCGCCCTAATTATTACTACAAAAAAGCTTCAAAATGCAACAAATGTGAATCAATGCTGACGAAAATAGGTGCAACAGGTCGTAAACAAGCCAATCTGTATTGTTACAACAAAATTCACAATTGATATTACGTTCTACTCTTGTTTACTATTTCATCACCATGACGACCATATTATATGAGAAATAGGGGTTTTAAAAAATTGATTCTTATCGAATGTTTTAAAAAATTGAAATATTCAATAAAAATAAATAGGTCACTGATAATAATCTAAAATGTTTTATAGAAATTCTAACCCATGACCGTATTCATAAAGTAACTGGCAATTAATTAATAGCATAAACTAAGGAAAATTCATTAAAATCAAACTACTCATCAGGTAGATTTTGGATGTCATAGTCAAGTGGGGGTTAGGAATAACATATGCAAAAGTACATGTGGTACTAAACTATACCAGACCCATACAAAGTTATATTGCAAAACATGGCGCACCTCTGATTACTGTGCTTGGGTTCGTGAGTACGAATCCCTTGCGGCAGTGTGGGGATGGTTATGTGCGATTGGATTGCTGGAGTCCTCGTCAAAAATGTCAAAATGTCCCCCAAAATGTCAGATAGAAATCCTTTCCGAAACCTCCAGTATCCGGGGATTTATAATTTTTGAATAACTTGATCTCCTCAAACCCCTTTTCCCCAGGTACGCCTCTTGCGCCTCATGATCTGTGGTTGAGATGGTACCCCACAAATCAGTGTAAAATTCAAAGATTTCGTTCCTAATCAACTGGGGGTCGTCTGTTGTGGTGGTCGCGTTAATTTCGAGCTTTTGAGCAGAGCATTGTTTTTCTCTCGTTTTTATGATTTCGAAGAAATATTTTGTCCGCTTTTCTTTATGTTACGCATCAGGGACACCTGAGACTATCGTTTGAAATTCTTTTTGCTGGAATATTATGTTTTTAGGTCTTTTTTCAAATTATATAGTTCTGTCACAGACAGGGTGGAGACTCCGTGTGTATAGTTTTTTAGGTCGTTTTCCAATCTTATTCGTTTCGCTTCAATAATTCTTTTCTTTCGTATTCCAAAAGCGAGGCGTGTTTTTTGCTTTGGCGTTGTCCCACCATTCTAGGATATTGTCGAAGGTTCTATTTCTTCGCAGAGATGACTGTCACTTATTTTAATCATTTCAATAAAGTCCTGATTCCTGTAGTGGGCCGTATTGTTACACCAAACCCCTTTTTCCATCTTATTTTTTGATATTCGTTTATTTCAATAATCGAATACAGGATGTGATCGTATATCAGATTTGGCTGGTAGGAAAAGGATTTAATCTGGGTTTTGGCATTATCGGATATGTACATTCTATCTATACGGCGGGCTTGGTTTTAATGTTTTATTGTGTATATAGGCTGGTTTTTGCAATTGTCATAGTATGGATCTGAGAGGTAAGCTTCCTGGATGTATTTTCTCAGAATTTTTTCGCCTTTTATCAGTTCGAATTTGTTTGTGTTCAGTACCTCGGATTTGTCTATGACGGCATCGCCCGCCAAGACAAAAATATTAGGGTTTTTCTTTTCTGAGTCTAATTCAGCAGTCAGGGTTTGGAAGAAGTCGGTTTGTCATTTTCGTCCTGAGTGGGGGGTCCGTATATTTTTTTTATAATTTTAATAGATTAGCCAAATTGATGATGATTTCGTTTCAGCCCTGTCTCTTTTGCTTCAATTTGGGTGACCTGATGGTATGTGTAGCTGGATTTTTGATTTTGTAGAGCGTTGTCTTCCGTACCGAGGCATGCCGGCGGAGAGGAAATAAGTGGTAGATCGGAGAAAACCGATGAGTAGGATGTTAATTGCGAGCCGTAGTCCAGGTTGTTAGTTTTCATGGGCCGAAATGGTGTCTTTCCGATGGTTGACGTAATTTTTAGCTTTGGCTCGAGAGGAGCTACCGGAGGAGGTGTGGTGGGGTATTGCGATGATACGTAATTGTCTGGACTGAGGGACCAACCTTTAGTTTCCTTGCTTTCGACATTGATGGTGTCGGAGGGGGAACTTTCTTGAGAAATGCCAATCACTGGTGTGACTGTTCTAGTTGGAGCCGTGGTTGCTGATGTTTGTTTTTTCTTCTATGTTAGGATTTTGGGGTACCGTATTTGCTCGCGAATAGGCCGAGTTTAAAACTCAAAAAAAAAAGTTGCTAAACTAAGGGACAGTCTTATTCGCGCATAACTCAGATTGCACCAAAAAATCGGCTCATTCGCGCATCAGAATTTAATCACGCAACGAGATGATATTATGCTGACTTGCCGGTAATTCCAAAAGCTTCAAACCATACCAAGTTCTCACAATGAAAAACGTGCACGCACACACAATCGCTTTTGAAAGTGGATTGTCTTATCAAACAGCTGATGGCTTGTACAGTCTGTGATTGGTTGTTTAACACGTGACGCTTGTACAGGCTGTGATTGTTTGTTTTCGCTTGTGTTTCTTTTACATAACAGCAACAGTGTCGATTTACGGCCAGTTGTTTCGTGGTTAAAACGGTATTATTTGGTGCGCTATCGCCGTAACTTTTAATCACCTTTACGATATGTTATCCGTTAAGGGGCGGTGATCGACTCTTATCGAAATTGACCGCGTTGTGGACGAGCAAAGGAAATTGTTTTATGCTGACTCAGGGACTCTCTTAAACTCCAGACAACAATCCCTTCAATTAATACAAATCATGACGCATGAAAGGCAATATAGACTTTATTAACATGAATTTACAAGTAAGAGTTACGAGTAAGAATCTACGGCCGTCGCTAACAAACAGAAATGATAAACGTGAGAAATATTTGTGTTACAGCAATTTTGTTTTCTTTCTGCGCCTTTCTTAAGGCGTCTAGCGTGTTCTAGCATGTTAAGCGTCATAGCAATTTGTAGAACATCAGTTCTCTTAGAAACTCGCGTTACCTGAATGGGTATCTAAATAATTCAATGATCACTTTGTCCTCTTAGGAGTTTGTTTAATTAAAGTACCGGTAATCAAAAAATTAGTGTGGAAATAGCTGTTATAGACTAAGCTGAAATTCTTTGGCGGTACTTTTAAAAAACAGATTGTTGAATGCTATGAATCAGAATGATGGTTTGAAACAAAAATACCCCATTTATCAGGGGTCAACCGGCAAAACCACTGTTAAAATAAGCACCGAAAATTTTTCAATGGTAAAATATGGAAAGAATTTCCTGAAGGTCAAAGGTCGGGGAAAAGTTCAAAACTCGCTTTATTCCGTCACAATCATTCTGCTTTTACTTGACAGCATCCGGAGACGGCGCCATAAAGTTTTATGGACTTATTCGGCACGTGCCCCTGGCAGCGTGGTTAGGACATATGGAAGAATATTAGTAAAACGCGATTCCGTTAATAAATGTCATTTATGTGACAAATTTTCATTGTTCGATGTGCAAATTCTACTTTGAGATAATAAAGAAAAACTGCATCATCTACGCACTTGTTAGTTGACATTGAATATACGATTTTGGAATAAAATCGTTAACATTATATTTCTACTGAAAACTGATTCATAATTAATTATTGTCAAATTTTCATCTTTAGCAATCTTGATAACTCAATTATTTTTTACATTTATTGGGTCTTTACCAATACAGTTATTGATATTATTTTGAATTTTTGAAAGACTTGTACATCATAAAGGTGATTTGTACCCGAGATGTTAGTTAACGGTTAAAATAAATCGTAACCGTTAACCATCTAAAATCGGTCAACCGATTAACCGGTCAACCATTCCCAGCCCTATTATTCGCTAGTATCTCCGTCTAGCTTAATGGTAAACTATTCCAAACTTGGTTAATTTCATCGGAACATTTGTTTAAATAAAATTGTCTCCTTTGGCTATCTCTAATCTGTGAAATGGAGTAGGCTATATACTATTTGTCAATGTATACACAGTATTATCTAAAATATCTGCCACTGATATGATTTTGGCTCGAATCCACTTGTTTGAAAATCGAAAATTCTGAACTAGAATCAAAGGATTATACC